ATTAAATTAAAATTTAATTAATAAGCATAAATCTTTTCTTGTTTCTTTTTTATGTTGTAAAGTACTTTGTATGAATGTAATAAATACAGTTTATTATTATTTATTTTCCTTAAACTGATATTTCATCTTTAAATCTTGTAGTATAATTTAGTTTTGCATAGGGTTCTTTTCCCCTTCTCAATGTAAACTAGTTCTGTAAATTGAACTGTTATTTGCAATTAAAAAATAATTGTAATTATTTCCCATGGTTGAGTAACGCTGATTCTCTCTTTAAATACTGAATTTCTCAAATTTTAAATTAGGGTTAAATCTCATTTTTATTTTATGGTTATGCAGTTGTGTATATATGTAATTAAACAGGTGCTTATTTTTTAAAATGTGCTTGAAAAGTGCTTATAGGTGCTTATTTTTTTAGCTAAAATGTGGCTATGAACCCTGGTTAAATTGATTAAGTTTTCTAACTACCAAATTAACATGTTTTTGCTGACAGATATTTCTTGGCAGCCTCGGCTTTCCATTTTTCAGAAATAAAGGTCTTGCTGATCCTGCTCCTGAATTTACACCCTGAATTACGTTTTCTTCAACATCTGCTCTCCCTCCATCTGGCACTACAGAATCCTTGTTGGGTTCTGAATTTTCTTCAGTAGGAACAAATTCCATGAATTCCTGTTCCTCAGCTGCTGAAGTTTCTGAGCTCTCTTCAGTTTCCAGCTATTCCAAAAATCTAACATCACAACCTTGTGTTACTTCAAAATTCTAAGTATTTATTAAATTTGGGGCTTTTGAATTCTTCACATTATCACTGTGAAGCATTTTCAGTTGCTTACCCATTTCCTTTTCAGCTTGAAATTTGTACTTTTGGGAAGGTTAAGGGCTTTAGACCTTTTTTATATGGTTGTATGCAGTAATTTTACATCATTTGTTGTTGATGAACATTGTGAAGTATTTTGCACCACCTAAAGATGTGATATTTGTGGAACCACAAATACCAGTGTGTACAAGTTCATGTATTTCACAGTGTATTGCATGTGCTTCTTTCAGGAGTGGTAATTTGTTTGCACTTTGTACAAATTTTACAAAATAGGGCTTCATTTTTATATTTTGGAACTTTAAGACCATACACCATCTTTTTAGAGTGCAGATAGTTTTAAATGGCCACATCTTTCATGCCACAGTTACTGTTTGGGATATTTAATTTATCCTATACAACATTTGAAACCTTGGCTATGTTCTGTTGATTTACAATATTGGCCATTTTTCTTTATAACTTGTAAAACTAGCATTCATTTACATGCATCACTAAATTAACTGAAATTAAATTCATTTTTCCGTTGTAAACGTATAATACATAATTAAGTATTATGTGCTGTGAAGTTGAAGTAGCACTTGCATAAATTTCGACTATCCTTTTCCCTTTTACTTCTAGAAATTCAGTATTTGGTAACTGAAGTTCACTTTCTATGTCAGTTATTGATGGGAATTTACTTCTGCCATCACACATGTGTGCAGATGTTCCTGAATCAAGGTACCAATTTTGTCTTCCTAATTTTCACATTGACTTGATGATGCTGAGAAAACAACTTTTTTCTAGAGCATTCTCAATTAGGATTTTTTTTTTTTAATTTTTTTATTCTGACCCTTTTGTGTCTTTTTCTCATGCAGTTAAAGTACCTAAAGGCTTTCACATTCTTAGACCTCATTTTTGAAGTGCCATGATATTTAATAACAAATGCATATTACACATGGCTGTTTCTTTGAGCTTTTCTTGAGCTTAACTTTTAGATTGTTTTAGTAAGTTAATTTTTACCGTATTTAACTTGCACAATCTATCACGAGATTCTATTGTGAAATTAAAACTTTCCAATTATTTGATTAAGCTACCTAATAGCAAAATAGGTAGGAGTTCTGGAATTTTAAGTTCTGTTTTTGCATCTACAGTTTCAAAGAAAAAAGTTAAATAATCCTGCATTTTTTCTAGATAAGTTGCTTTGTATTGCTTACTTTAGTTAGGGCCTTTAAGCTGATGAATCTCGTGCAGTTTCACCTATGCCTCATACTAAGTTTTGCTTTGTTTAATGTGCACAACATCAAATGATTTCACACTGAGAGCAATAATTGCTAAAGCTTTCTGATGTTTTACTACATATTTTCAGTTTTGGTTTGAATAGTTTAGGAAGTTTCTGTCATTAACTATCTCAGAGTTCTGATTGGATTAAAACCATTTTCACTTGAAATGCCATATTTCTAAGTTAGTGGTGTCCAGTTCCTCAGTTTGTTGAATAGTTTAGTTGAATATTTGGGTTTATATTTTCAATAATTACGTGCAATTTCAGTGAAGCCAAGGGAGAGGGAATAATTTTTCTTACCTTATTTTCAACGAAAAAATACAGATGCTTTACTTGCTGTTTAGATTTCCATCTCTGGTGGACTTCCTGAGTGCCTTGTTTGGTTTTTCGGTGGTGTTGAGTGTAATACCTTGTAGGAAACGTGGTTACCTAGCAAAGGAGAATACTTGATGTATGTGAAATGTAAGTTTTAATAAAATAAACAGCTTAATAAAATAAATAAATAATAATTTAATAAAATAATAATAATTTATTCCTTCAGCTTAATAAAATAAACAGGTCATGTCAGGCTATGATGTGTGGAAAAAAACATGATAAATAACAGTTGATTAACTTAACTGGTATGAACTGCTGCTGTCAAGTGAAGTTACATGCTTATTTACTCTGGCTATAACTTCGACTCTTTACAGTGTAACTATTGTGGTATTCAAACTAATATATTCCCCAGTCACAAAACATTAAGCAAGAAAAAACAGTACTCAAGTAGACAGCCACTTATTTATTTCCTCTTAAAAACCACATTTATTTTAGGTAGACATCTCACAATACTTTTTTTCACGTATACATTAAAAAAATAATTAAACTAGAACAAGAAAGATGCTAATGTGAGGAAAGAAAGAAAACTATAACAACCATTATTAGGTGAACTGATTGTGATGGTTAACCTTCCCTTTTTTTTAACTTTGGAAAAATTGTTTAATTTCTGACAGCTGTGTAATGTCGTCAGTCTGCTTGGCAGTTTATTAGGTCAGCAAGTACTTGTCTCTGCAATAAATGCTATCCTCCCATTCTAGTCATTGACAGCTATATTCCATGCATCACATTGCCACACCACAGTGGAGAGAATCTCAGCTACTGGTGATGTTGATAACCAGCACAACACACACCCTGAATAGGTACATCAGAACAATACACTCTTCACTCATTTCTAGATTTTGACCATGTGATTGTATATTGTTTCAGCATTAAACTGAATGAATTTAAACATTTCAGCACTGCACAGATGCAAAGGTGAACGGAAATTTCCTAACAGTTAGAACTAGTATTAGTTTATATGGGGAAAAGACAACCTTGATCTCCCGACTTGAACTCGCTAGATTATTTTTGCTTGGGTTTCTCGAGAAACAGAGTTAATGAAACGGAAGCAGTATGTTGTACAGACCCACTCAGTCACACATTAGCTGCGAGTGCATGTGAAATGATAATATTAAAAAGGTTAAAGAACACCATATTTTATGGACACAAAAATGTGTAGTAACTGTGGTAAGACATTTCAAACAAATTTTACACTAAAGATATTGACTTCATGGAACTAGAGTTTTGCCTTGGAATTTCTGATTTTATGAATTTTTTAAAAAATTGTAATGATATTTGTTTTCATTAATATTAGCAGTTAAGAGTGTTTTTCAGTTTCATCGACGATTTATTTTTGATTTTTCTTATTCTGTACTTCGAAACCTAGAGAAGTATGAGACTGTTGTAATTGTTGATGTTTGTAATATTTGATCTTACAATAGGACAAGAAAGTTACTTTTTATCAGTTTCTAATTAAAAAACTGTCTTGGCTTATTAGTTATTGTAATATCTGATCTTACAATAGGACAGGAGAGTTACTTTTCATCAGTTTCTAATTAAAAGCTGTCTTGGTCTATTGTTAGTTTTCATTAATACAAATAATTGTTTTGTCTTTAATATTTCTTTCTGTTCAAAAGGATATGTAGGTTAATTCTTTTATATTAAGAACTGTTTTGCCGTGGTCTGTTGCCATTTCCATTCTGTGCTAAAAAAAGTTGTATTCATGAAAGGTTTTCATAAGTCTGCATAATCAGTGCTTGTTACTTATTCTGTTAAAATCAGATTTTATTTTTAAGCTCATGTTATATTTTTAGTTGCATACAAATTTAAATATTGCTGTCTGCAATTTGTATACAGCCCCTGAATTTTCTAAATTAATGTGAAAATAAAATTTACTGAAACTTTAAAATCAATTATTATGGTCAGTTTTTATTATACATGAGTCACATTCTTTGTGTACTATTTTTAACATCACGGCGTGCAGTGAACTGGAAGTTGATCTATCGATCCTTATCTTCAGTGCAGATGTTTTTATTTTATTTGGCTTATAATTCCTTACTAAATGTAGTATTTCATCTCGATGTACTCCATCTTTGATATGATTTAAATCAAATTCCTCGTCATTATAAATATCATGAATACACATCAAATAGTTTTCTGGTTGCAATTTTCTATGCTTAATGTATGCTTTACGCATGCGCGCGTTGAAAGGAATGTTTAATAAAGTAAACAAGTAAATATTAAGGGTTTGTTTTTTTGTAAATTTTGAGACCCTTTAGATCATATATGCTCTTTATTTCATAAATTACGGTTTCGTATTTTTAATTTTACAATTTCTGCATGCCATCTTACCAGATTTAAACTGATGATTTATAATCCGGAAAAACCGATAATTCGGAATCGCCGAAGTCACGACGAGTCTGGATTGAAGACTTGACTGTATTTGTTATTAAATTTTCATTATAAAAATTGATAAATAATGTTGTAAATATTTGCTAAGGAGGGAGATTTAAACATTTTCGTTTATGTGAAAAGCAAATATGTGTTATATCTTGCCTCAAAATGTATCTCTAATTTCAGAAGATTGGATTGAGTTGTCTTCCAAATTAGAAATGTCCGGGCATTCTTTACATGCTGTGTCTCAAAATTTGGTTGATTTAATTTGGGATGATAGACCACCTCTTCCTTCAAATATCATTGAACCAATGTCATTAGTTTATACAGGTAAGTAATTAATATTTTATGTGTTTACATTATCTTGGTTAAAGCATGATTGATGTCTTCTGAATCTCCTTCATGTATCATTAATGTATGCTGCACATTGACTTTTGTTATTTAGATTGTTGGCACTTTCTTTCAAACTATATTTATAATTTGTTCATAAGTTCTGTTGATAATACAGCTACTGCAAATGAAAAAGAAATGGAACATTGCAGTTTCTCTCGGGAAAATTTGAATCCATTGAAGATGCATCATTTGATAAGGGCAGAGATTAGTGATCATTTACTTGCTCTTTAAATTTTGGAAAACAATGTACACACACCAAAAATGAGCTGGAAAGTATTTTTCTACATTTCTATGTTATAGATAATTGCACAATGTCTGAATCAGCATATTCAGTAAAAGGCAGTGAATATTACTCCTAAAAGTGATGAAAATTGAATGGATTAAAAGTAGTTCTGTTTGATACTGTATTTTTACAGTGAATTATTTTGAATCTATAGAAGTTGTAGAAACATTTCAAAACACATTTTAGTGTATCAGAAAACATATTAATGAGCATTTTACTGAAGCATTAATTTGGATTATCTTTTAAAATACCTGTATATTCTTAAATTATGGTATTTTATTACAAACATAGATTTATAGAATGCAACATTCATTATAACATTTGGGACTGTTCTAAAGTCCTTTGTACACTGCGGGGATCTTACATTCTACTGGGCCAATCGACGAATTTTAAATTGTGTTTTTCATGTCTCGAAAGCCCGGCTTAGGATATATATTAGATATATATATAGCATTATTCTTAGATAGGTATTTTGACACAAAATCGGACTTTTTCGGAAATAACATACCAATTTTTTTTCATATTTTGATTCTACGACTCAAATTATGTCAGACTGCCAAGTTTTGTAAAAATCGCACAAAAGTATTTTTTTTAAAATTAGCTCTTCAATGTTGATTGAATTTGGTATATATTTATTATCTCTTTTTTTACTAAACGTATTTTATTCTTCTTTTCACATTTTGAAATTTAGGTTCATTTCAAATAAAATTCACTCATTTTTTATGATTTATTTTTAAAATTTGTATTTTTAAATAATTTTTATAAATCTTTCAAAAAAATTTGAATTATAACCTATAAAATTTTTACCATCATCTTAAAGTAGGTGTATTTATAAGCATACTTGCAAAAAATTAGTTTTTTATTCAAAATTTTCTAAGATATACAAAAATTATGCATTGGTGTGTTTTGAAATTTGGCATCTTCTTTTTGAGTGATAATGATGCCAAATGTGGTTAATGGATTTTTGTTACAACAGGGAATTGCCACTGCTGTTTTTAACCTTAAATATCAAAAACGTTTTGCAGAGAGTTACTTATACGAAAATTTTTCCTTCAATGATGCGTAATAAATATCTATTAATGCTATATGAAAAGCTTTTTTTTTTAAAAATTATAGATGATATTATTCAAATTTTTAACTTTTTTAAAATTTCTTTCTTCCTTGTTTTAAAAGATATTTGTAAGAGTAAAATTTTTACATTTGCCATGTTATCTTCTGCTACTTTAATTTAAATTGAATTGTCTGAAACTAAGGAAGTTATTTTGATGTTTATTTTCACAATGTTTTTAAGCAAACAGGGCGTTGACAGTTTGGTTCATATCCCAACTTTAAAAAATATATTTAAATATAAATTTTTAGTCCAGAGAAGCAGTTTGCCCAGAAAGACTGTTAATTTTGTTTTGGCATTTTGTGGCAATTCACTATAAGTTTCACTTTTCAAATTGTTGCCACCAAATATTTTCACTCTGTATTATATTTAAAGAAATTAAATAACGAAGAATCTGCATGAATGTATGTATGTTTCTCACACTGTGATAAAACCATGGTACCTAGAGCCATCAAAATTTGAATAACATAATCTTCCATAGAATACGGAATGTGGAAGCCCTAATTTGAATTTGAAATTTGTTTTATTATCGATTTCATATTTTATAACACTCCAACGAATTTTCGATTAACAAACTAAACCATTTCAAAGGGAACAATGGCAACACTGTGCAGGAAAAGAAGCATTTTTATCTCCAGAGCGCGAGAATTTGTATGAGAAGTTCTAAAGATATGCTGGTTTAAAAATTATTTTTGTATATTCCTGTTGAACTGAATTTTATGGTTTGAGTACATAGAACGTGATATTTAATAAATAAAGAATATAAGAATCGGGTTATTTCTTTCTCATTGAACAAAATCTTTTAATTCAAATATTTATCCTTTGGACTTTGTTTTAAGCTTTATTTATAGTTAAAATGTCTAGAAAATGAAATGTTGTCTTTACCTGAAACGCATTTGATGGAACTGATATTTTAAAAAAATTGACAAGAATGCAAAATTTTTGGAAGTGTAACAATAAGAAAACTTAATTTTCTTGTGTCAGCACTGAAAACAAGTGTAGAAGGAAATTAGAGGGTAAAGCAAAAATTTGACGAGGAATCTACTTCAAGGAAGTTGGGTGTTCAAACTCTTGGACGTGTACGCTAGCAAATAGCAGCAATTGAGTTTGTGCTAACGCAAAAGACAAAAACTATATCATTGCAGATTAAAGTGAACAGCAACTGGTTTTCGACTATATGGTATAAATGTATTGTTTTTGGACTTTATGGTATTGTGTAAATTTAAATAACGTCATAGAGCATTATATCGTATCATTAACAGAGAATCCCATACCCCATGCAGTCGAATTATTTGAAGATTCAAGAATTTATCCAGTGACGTATATGGATATTATCTAAAGACGTTTTCCCTCTTTATCAAACTAGTCTCTCCTTTTATCTTATGCCTTCAAAATAACTAGCCTCTAAAGACTGATAAAGGCTCTGACCAAATACTGATAAAATGTATTGAATTGAATTATTAAGTTACGGTAAAGCGGGGCTATCTGCCTAAAAGGAGGGATGCCTTCGTGAAGAACTTCCTAAGGAAAACCAACTCATATACATGTTACACATGAGAAAAACCACGAAACCAGCCCGTTTATCGGGATTGGAACCCCAGAGCGGACTACCAGTGTTCAGCGACTTGACTGCTTGACGGTTTGTGGCCCCTTATGAAATGGAAGGCAATAACTATTTAAAATGAATATCAGAAATACAAAGATGTTTCAAAAAGTTTGAAGCTTTTTAACATACTTGCAGAAAGCCTGAAGAAAAAGAGCAAGGCATTAAGAAGAAAAAAAGAAATTTTTGCTTAAAATTTAGTATTTTTTTAAACTTAAAATTTTTTAATTTTATGATATTTGATTTTTGCAATTTCAAAAATAATATATTTGACTAAAACATGAATAACATTTTAAGAAACTAAATGTAGGATGATAAAATTGTGTAAAGTAATGGGCACAATGATAAAATTTTTTAAAGCAATGTATGCAGTCATAAGTTAAAGTGTTGGTTCTATGTCTCTCTTATTTATATGTCTTTTATGAACGGAACATTGAAAGGTGTGTTAACTGTGCTTTACTGTATTTTCTCTTTTAATAAATGCAGTTTTCAAATGCATCGTAGCCTGGGTCACAAAGTATTCTGAAAGAAACACAATTCAAATAAATAAAATCAAATTCTGGAAAAGTTATATTAATAAATATATTTAAAATGCGCAGTCTGAATGAATAAATAGAAAATTTTAAAACAATTATCTGAAGAGACGGTGAAACGCAAATAATTAAAATAAAAGTCTAAGAATTTAAAAAGTACCTAAAATAATAACTATGACTGGAAAGAAATAAATCTATAAAGAAAACTATTTGAATAAAAAAAGAAATAATAAACGATGCACTTTTTATTTAAACTATGCAGTTCAAATGAGTAAAAAGAAATTTTTAAAACAATTATTTGAAAGAAACCATGCAACTTAAACAATGGAATGAAATTCGCAAAAGAAAATTATTTAAATTGTACATTTAGAATTAAAAATATAATATAAAGAAAATTATTTGAAAGAAGGAACGATGTAACTTTTTTTTCTTCTCATGCGCAATGTAAAAAGATAAAGCAAGAAAAGGTTGCCATATATTAAGAAGTTCACCAAGTGAACTATTGTTGGCGCAAACTGAAAAAAGTACGAAGATAAGTTTTTGAATTTCTCCGTAAATTTCATACCACATTTTACAAAATTTAATATTTAGGCATAATTTGAGTCTTAGAATCAAAATATGTAAAAAAAAAAACTGGTACGTTATTTTAGAATCAATTGAATTTTGTGTCAAAATACCTGCTATATATAAATCTAATATGTATTCTGAAACAGTGTCTTGTACCACAAGTTGAATTGGGTGATAGAAAGGCATTCAGATGACAGTGGATATTTCCAAGATCTCGGATGTCTTTAAAGAACTGCATAGCAGCCCAACTGGACACCACTTCGTACTTCACCAAGTAGCCTGGTGCGTATCCTATTCCTAATCAAGAAGCTGTTTCGGTAACATAAGTAATGATGCAGCATTAAATTTCCAGGCTCAGAGTGCCTCCTCTGTTATAATCGAGGAAATTCTATCTTGACCGTAATGAAAGAACTCTTCAAGTTACTTTGCATCGACAAAACCTAATCAACACCTTTGCGTTCCCAGTCAGACAACATGGTGGAGAGGTTTAATTGAACTTCCTTGATAATCTCTCGTGGTATCCGGAAACCAGACTGTATCCAGAAGCCAGACCAGATGGTATCCGGACTGGGACCAGAAGCTGCCACTGTTCTTTTTGGCCTATCATAGTGCTGTTCATGAGACTACCTGCTATTCCCCATCCCAGATGCTCTTCAATTGTCTTCATCTGCCTTGTGATCTCTTATGAAGACCTGATGCAACAGGACATTAATTGAATGAAGGTGACGAGGTGTGGTTATGGAATTCATGTCAGTGGAAAGAACTCTTGCCTAAAATCTAGTCTCCATGGGTCCTTGCAAGGTCCTAAACAGGCTGAACATCATCATAATTCTGATCTGTAGG